CAATGAATTGGTGCAGATGGGACATAAAGTGATCTATGCAAGGTGGAGTCATGGGTATGGTCTTACTTAGATTCTAATCTGACGTCAGGAAAAAAGTTCCCCCTCATGTAGGGCCCATGTGAATCATTTTTCTGAAAGCAAATACTCAACTTTGCCACTTGGTTAAATTTCTATATTCAGAACATGTAGTAGGAAAACAGTTTTTATATTCTGAAAGGAACAAAGCATATTTTAGATGGGTGAGATGATGAGAGTCGTAAAATCTTGATGATCAAGCTTTGGTGGGGGCGGGGGGGCCTCCTCCTCGTTATAATTATTCGGATATACAATGCTTAATGGCAAAGCAGCTTATCAGGACCATACCACAAATACCAATTAAACAGTACTGATCATTGTGGACATGCAGACCCCAGAGGCCCATATCCATCTCTTCTTCCTCTTCAATTGGGGACTTATCTTTCTCTCAATTTCTCAGTGGTACTACATCTACATGTAAATATGTAATGTAAGAAAAGAGAACAAACAGAAGGCTTCAGACTGATCAGGCAAGGTAAGTTCCCTCATGTCTTAGTACTCTCTATGTAAACTAGAAAGGACAGATTGTTGGCTGATATCTAAAGGACAGATTGTTCCCTCATGTCAATATATTTGGGTGAATCTTTCCCTTGCTTAGTTCCCTCATTGTGTTCATGGTTATCTATATATAGATTGTTTAAGGGTATGCCCTACCATACCTTGTACAGTTCCTTCTCCCTTGTACAGTTCCTTGGTGTACAAAGGATCATACATACCTGTTCTGTTCAGATACACCATCCCATACCAAGGATGGTTTGGAAAAGAAAAGAAAAGAAAAGAAGCTTCTTCTACTACCATCCCGGACCAGGGATGCTCTGCTGCTCCTCTATAAACTCCGCCTAAACCCAAGGGGCCAAGATCAGAATTGATCTAAACTTGGGCATTAATTTAACATCAGAATTGATTACCAAAGAAATAACTCAACATCAGAGTTGGATCAGTGTGGTCCATTGAACAATGGGTGTTACTTTCTGCAAGTGGGTCATACCAAGTTGGAAATAAACTACTATTTTCTTCTTAATGTATTACATACAGTCTCAGCTGCTCTCCAGCAATGATTCAAAACTCTATATACGAATGGAATGATTTCTGCAGGAAGGCTCAAGCCCACAAGCTGTCGCATTCCAATGGGCTCCAGATCTAATCTGTGTCAACCAAGTCTAGATTTCTATAGCTTTGTTTGTCCTAATTGTTATCATACCTATCAGTTCACCCAACTCTATATTAGCTTTGTCTACCTTAGTTGTGCCATGTGTGTGGCTACAGATCAGTTTCCATCTACAGATAGCCAGTATTGTTTTAAACTTTTTATTCCCATGTCTATGTAGGAGAAACCATTAGTTCATGCATGTTTCTGTTTCTCAATGCATTAATTGATTTCAAAAAAAAAAAAACAAAGAATACAGATCTGTAATTGCATGTCCTTTCATACTGGGAAAGTGATTTCAAATCTGTGGGTCTTGACTATTACCATCCATTGAATAAATTAATAAGGTTGTCTTCCCCCACTAGAACACTTCTTTTCAGATTGCCAATTTGCCATTTCATGAAATCTGGGCCCACAGATGGATTATTTAGAATCTAGTTAATTTATCAAATAGAAATCATATCAAGAAAATATTATGTTTTGTTCTTTAATTAGCTTAGGTTGACCAATTCTCTTGCTTTAACCAAACATCGGCGAAGCAGACCCTTAAAGAAGGAAATTGATTGATTTCTTCAATTCCATAATCAAAGGAATATTTATATTCTAGAAATTCAGAAACAAGGTCGAGAAATCAGATTTTAATTTGAAGATTTCCATTTTCTGAAATGGCACAAATCCGAATCAACCATATTAGCAAATACCTCTCAGAATAATTGAGCTCAAGCCTGGCTCATAGAATAAAATATCAAAATTAACATGAATATCTGCGAAGCTTACCTTAGTTTTCAGCTGATCAAATTCATTCAACCATACCAGACTATAAATTAAAGGCCGGCCTACTTTTTAACCATAAATTAATCTCAGGGGCTGCCTAATGACAAAGCTAGCTCAGCGGTCAGCTCAGAGCAGACTGCTTAACTGATAAACCACTTGAAATAAGCGTTAACTGTTTAAGTATGCCATTAATGGCAAAATAGTGGATTAGCAGTTTTCAGCGGCCAACCTAAAACCATGGGTACGTCTTAAGCTTCCAGTTCAAGGAGTTGTCTTTCCAACTTCTAAATGGATGGTGAGGTGCCCACGATCGAAGAAACTCTTAATTGTATTAGTGCAAATTAACTATGGAAAACATCAAACATAAAAAAGCAAAGCAATAAGATCAAGATAAACGATGGCAAAAAAATAGCAGCAAAGCAATAAGGAAAATAGCAACAACAATTTATACTTAAAAAAAAATGTATAAATTCCATAAAAATTCGAACACACAAATACCAATAAGTAAAATAATGAAGAGACAAAAATTGATCAAATACCTTAATCGATGCTGCTTTCTTTTAATGCTTATAGGGATGATATTGGTGGTCAACCTAAAAGGGGAAAAAACAGAGTAAGAAGAAGAAGAAGAAGGAGGAGGAGGTATCCATCTTCTATGCGCAGCTTGAGAAGGAAATGAAGAAGAAGAAGAAGAAGAAGAAGAAAAAGAAGACAGAGAGAGAGAGAGAGTTTACCTTGGTTTTGAACTCTTTGGATCGTTTAGCCTTAGGACTTCAACAGGTCGAGATCGATCTCACTGTTACCTTGTACAGAGCGAGAGAGAGAATCGATTAGTTTTACCTTGTACAAACTTCAATAGATCGAGATACCTTAGTAGAGAGAGAGGGACGGGGGTTTACCTTGTACAGAGAGAGAGAGAGAGGGACGAGGGTTTAGCTTGTACAGAGAGAGAGAGAGAGGGACGAGGGTTCACTGACTTCAAGTCGAGAGGACTCGAGCTCAAACGAAAAAAAAAAAAAAAAGAAAGGATGGGGCACAAAAAATTTTTGCCAAAACCCAAATTTCATTCTGGGAAGAATGAATCTTGCGGCAAGAAATGAATATCCAAACACCTACATCCTATTCATTCTTGCCCATTCTTTTTCAAAATCGGCAAGAATTAAAAGAATGAAGCCACTGGCAGCGAACCAAACATGGCCTAATTTGCTCCTTCATCTAATAATATAGAGGTATAAAGACCACCAACATGGGTTTCTGCATCTTATCATAATTCCAGCACAATGTATATCTTGTCCTATATTTGTGCACATGTCTTCTTCCATTTTTAATTCAGTTCCTTGTACTCAGGATGAATAATTGCCCAAGAGATAAACCCCCTACCCTAATCCAGGGCCCTAGGCTCAGTTTCTATGGACTACCCAAGAACCTACAATGGGAGAGTTCAGAGACTAATGTTTCCAAAGTGAATCACTTACTCCATGGGGTCATGCGCTAGCCTAGCCCAATCCAGTTGAGTAGTTGTAGATAACTTGTGAGCAAGGGGGTTCAAAGAAGTGAGCGTACTGGTACTTTTTTTCATTACCAATCTAAGGGATTTTCTTTGTACAGTTTTTGCATGGAGACCCATTGCCAGAGGTCTTGGGCTGCCTCAGATTCAGTGTTTAAAAGTGAAAGGTGTAGGAAAAGGTGCAAGGGCCTTTTAACACCCAAGGTGTGAGGTGCATGCCTAGATGATGCAAGGCGCGTACAAATAAAGATATAGAACATATAAAATGAATTCAAAGTGAAAGTGAAAGAAAATAGATGTGGATAGTATTAAAGTGCTTTGAGCACTCGTTAATTCAAACATGTGAAACACTCAACATGTTTGTCTATCTTCAGATTACATCACTTCAAGTAGCTAGTGTGATGATAGACATCTTGCCTTCCAAACACTGGAGGTTGGAGCCTTTAAGGAAGCTATGTGAACACAAAACCTAAGCCTAGGCCTGGAAATTTGCAGAATGGGCTAAGAGTGATCACCCCTATTGTGAACTCTAACATCTGATACCTATAGAAAATGACTAAAGTAAATGTAAACAATTGGTTGATTGCCTAGGAAATTTCTATGGAACAAGATAGATTTATGTATGCTAGATGTTCATAAAATTCATTCATAGGAAATAAGCAGAGGCAAAAAGAAAAAAGACTTAAACAAAGGAAATGATACTAGAAATGCCCTCAAGAATCATCCAGTGCTGAAATCCAACAGTTTCGAGAACCAAACAAAAAGAAGCTAACATGGCATAAGGTATAAGCATGAAGGATTTCAAGAATGTTTACTTTGTGAAAGAATTGAGAACCGGTTGAAAAAGAATTTCCCAAATTATGATTGTATTCACAGTCTCCTATTTCTTTCAATGATTTCTGCGGAATGTTAACAATCTGTGATGATCGAGATCTATCCAACTTCAGTTCCTTTTAAGTTCTAACTTGACTATGGCCTTAGACTCCTATGACAAGCAAAGAAACGCAATGACCTACATGACTCATGAGCTCATCATTGCCTACATAAAGTTGGGATTTTTATCACTTGGTTCATGATTGCAAGTAATAGCTTAATGCCCAACTGTAAAACAGAGAAAACCTATGTTTGAATCCAATTTTTTCCTTTAAGAAACTCTACATTCACAGTAAATCCAGAATAATACCAAATTGAGCAACAGAAACCATTCAAACCTAGATGGCTAAATCTTAATTTTGTTCGGAGATCTAGCAAAAAGAAAATGTTTCAAGTTCTTGAATTTCATCCAGATTGATTGGGAACAGATGAATAGATCATACAAAATTGCAACTAAAAGCAAAATCCCCCAAAGGAAATCGAAATTCAACTTCCACCGTACCTTAGACAAGAAGGGTTCAAGAGTAGTGACAACATTGACAAGGGAAGGATCTAATCCTATCTCTTCCTCGGCTTCTCTCAGCGCTGTCTCGCTGTCATTTGCATCACCCTCCTCCGCTTTCCCTCCTGGTAAAGCAACTTCACCTAAAACAAAGACATCGACATCGTTTCATAAAATTCAGGAAGAAAGCCAGCTGGATCCGTCGCAATCTCTACGGAACTACGAATTCATCTCGTATCCTCTGACCTGAGTGAGTGGAGAGTTTCGAAGAGCGTTTAGTGAGGATGACACGAAGATCCCCACCATCGCCTTCGAAGAGGCAAACCAGGACGGCAGCTCTCTTGGGTCTGAACCTTTCAGCTTCAGGGCAATTAATGGGGGCCGCAGATTCTGCAAAACCCACCTGAGAAATCACCTTTCCTGCGCCTTCTTCCATTCGTTTCTCTTCGATATCGTCGTAGTCATCGTTGGAGGGCGGAGGTTTGTAGAGACGGAGCTGTTGAGCTAAGTTCAGAAGCCTCTGAGAACCTCTAAAACAAGTCGAATCCATGAGAAAGGAGGGAGAGTTGTGAGTGGGGAACGATGGAGAGGTGGCCATTGACATCCTCCCAATGGCAAGGACTGAAAATATCTGCCTGAATCGCATGACAAAAAACGTACCTCGGAAGCTGGTGATCGAACTCTTGATTCCATGAGAGTATCCAATGGTAGGCTTCCTACCTTCAGATCGGAACAAGATGAGTCGTTGAGGAAGGTTTTAGCGAACTGTTGAAGTGTTGCTGACATGCTATGGCTGAGTTTACATCGGCGTCCCACGAGGCGCACCTCACTGTACATCTCAACCGTGTATTGGGAGACAAGTACGGAAGAAGTTGCTAATGCACGATGAGATGTGCATGTGGTGCGTGCTGTGTGAGGCGCTGAAGTGCCTCGCTATGGCTGGCGAAAAAGGGAAATCGGAATCATTCGGTGCAAGGTCACTTCCAACAATCTTTATAGTCTTGCATTCAAATATCTTTTGGGATTATAATAGATAATGGCAACTTTTGAGCCTTAATATCAATAAAATATTTTTAATAATAATATCAAATAAGGATAAAATTATTGTTCATCTTCTTCCTCTTGAAGATTATTTATCAACGCTGCCACCCGTAATGCATCTGCCCACATTTGCCTCTACCTCTACCCAATACCACTACCTCCGCCCACCTTCGGAGGCAGAGGTAGAGGTGACGGCGTTGGGCAAAGGTAGAGGCGGAGGTGGGCGGAGGTAGGCAGAGGTGTTGTTGGAGGGGGTGGCGGGCGGCGGCACCAATAAAATGATCTGCAAGAGGAAGAATATGAACAGTTGTTTAGACCTTATTTGATATTATTTTTAAAAAATTAACCTATTTTTTAAATTTTATTAAAAATATTACTTTTATTGATATTAGGGTCCAAAAGTTGCCCTTATATGCTATAATCCTAATATCTATCTTTCCATGAAATAAAACACAAAAGTATAGAGATATTCCTAATGCAAGGCTGTAATGGCTATTCAAACGGTATTCCAAGTTCCAAGGGGTCTTGTACTGACTAAGCCGATCTCACTTGAAGGCATCATTCCTTTTCACAGTGGATGTTAAAGCGACCTCAGCAAAAATTTCATTAAGGCATAGGAAGGAAGACGGTCCTAACAACTTCGACGAAACATCTCCTTATAGAGAAGGGGATACCTGCCAAGGCAAATTCAGTCCTCACAAAGTTGTATTTACATCTTGACTATCTTTTTATTTATATTGATTGGAGATATTCCTAATGCATGACTAAAAAAAAATAACGTGAATACGGTATGCACGCAATTCTTCCTCTTGCAAATTATTCATCAACGCTGCCGCCTCCGGCAGTGCCTCTGCCCAAAACCGCCACCTCCGTCCACCTCCGGAGGCGGAGGTAGGCGGAGGTGTTGTCAGAGGTTGCTGGAGGTGGTGGCGGGCGGCGGCACCAATAAATGATTTGCAAGAGGAAGAAGATGAACAGTATTTTAGACCTTATTTGATATTATTTTTAAAAAACTAACCTACTTTTGAAATTTTATTAAAAATATTACTTTTATTGATATTAAGGTCCAAAAGTTGCCCTTATATGCTGTAATCCCAATATCTATCTTTCCATGAAATAAAACACAAAAGTACAGAGATATTCCTAATGCAAGGCTGTAATGGCTGTTCAAACGGTATTCCAAGTTACAAGAGGTCTTGTATTGACTAAGCCGATCTCACTTGAAGGCATCAGTCCTTTTCACAGTGGATGTTAAAGCGACCTCAGCAAAAATTTCATGAAGGCATAGGAAGGAACAGACGGTCACGAAACATCTCCTTATAGAGAAGGGATGCCTGCCAGGGCAAATTCAGTCCTCACAAAATGTATTTACATCGTAACTATCTTTTTATTTATATTCATTGGAGATATTCCTAATGCATGACTAAAAAAGAAACGTGAGTACGGTATGCACACAATTATGTGAGGACCAAATCCAATTTCCTAAAATGGTTGGTATCCTCCTTTATCAAAAGCTAATTGGGATCAACTACTCACATTAAAAGCAGGGCTGCAAAGGGTTGATTGCATTGGATATAGCATGTTCGAATTTGATTTGTTTATATTCGAATTCAAATCGGATAATATCCATCGAATATCAAATGAATTCAAATCAAATTCAGATTATAATCGGATATTAAATAATATAAATAGATTAGATTAAAAAATGATCAAAATAGTATATATTATTAATAAAATAAGCTAAAATGATTTTCATATCATCTTTTATAAATAAAATAAATTGAAAATCATTTGTATAAAACTTGAACATATGACAATTTAGTGGAAATACAACATTAAAAGCAATATAAATGATAAATAGAATATAATTTTTTAAGAGTAGATCCATATTTGGTCCAATTATAAATGGATTGGATTCAGATAATCAGATACCATTGGCAGCCTCCAATCAACTAATTTTCAAAACATGCCTTGGCTGCTAAACACGACTTTGACTCAACGGCCGATGGAAAAACTCTCCATTCTTTTGCTGTCAAGGTCGTCAAAGGCCATGGCGTTCAAGGATACCCATGTACACTTGAAAAGTTGGCAGAACTCACAAAGATTGAAAAGGCGAGACTTGAATTGAAGCACAAACACCCTACTGGTCATAGGAGGTGCTAGTATCCCGCTACTTCACAATGCTCTTCTCTGTGAAAGAACCAAAGGGGCAAAATTGGGCTTTTGAAAAACCACAGCCTCACGTGATGTCACATGCAAACACATTTTAACAGATTGCTAATAGAGGGAGGTCTTTGTCCAATGAGTTACCACCCGACATGTGATGGGAGGTCTTTGTTTAATTTATAAAAAGAAACACCACCAAGGGTTTAGTCTTCTACTTTAAATTAGGCAATACAACGAACCCAAGGAGCAGATGTCCAGATTTCCCCCCTATCAGAGCTTTTTTATATGCGAGTGATGGCATAAGCCACCCAACCCTATTCAGAGATCTATCCATCTATCAATATCCAGGAAATAAAACTAAACAAAGTAGTTTTTATTTGGTCCAAAAGGTGCCAGCAAGCTCACAATCTCTCTTTGGTGAGAGAACAGTTGCTAGCAACGCTTTGAGTTGAACCTCTATACATGGAACTTATAAACTAAGTTCTATGTTCAAACACGAGAAAAAAATTCACCGCAACAAAACACTCGGCTTTGGTCATGGTCAATTTGTATCTCCTGCAAAAACCAATATATACCAAGTGTTAGTATATAATCCATATAAATGCTCCATCAAGACTAATATAATAAGGAATCTTTGGACCAAAAAATAAGTAAGGAATCTAATTTTATTTATGGATAACAGATTTCCACTTCATTAATATAAAGTTATAAACAGAGAATTATGTAGGTAGGGTTACCTACCTCTCCCTATTACAAGGATTACAATTGTGCCCAATCACACCTATTTGCCCCTTGCTTGGCTAAGCTTCAGCCATGCCAACCATTAGCCTCCCTCGGAGCCCATTGAATTTTTATTGTCATTTCCCTTGTTAACCATTTAGGTGGTGTTCAGTGGTGTGGATGGGCCACAATATATTGCATTTCAATTCACACCACATCCATGTGGTGCATTCGGTTGGCCCGTGGTGTGAATCGATCCACACTATCTCATAGATTGCTCCACACCACCGCTCAATTTCTTGTCCACGGGTTTTTCTCGTGGAACCATCTACACTACACTGTTTTATCTATGGAACAATGATCCCATGCTTCGCATGGGTTGTTTTACCCTAATACAAGACCTCTTTTATTAATAATTGTTAACATTGTTTTATTAATAATTAACTTTCAAATATTATTTTATTAATAAAAATAATTATTTTTAATATTAAATATTATTGATATTATTTTATTAATTATTAAGTTTTGAATATTATTTTTATTAATATTAATAATTGTTTTTAATTATTATTAAAAACATTATTTATTATTAAATATTATTAATATTATTGTTAAAATTATTAATTATCATTAATATTATTTTTATTAATTATTAAAACTCTTAGCAATTTACTAATATTTTTCTATTGTGAATATTACTAAAAAATAATATAAAATATTTTTTTTAATGATTAATGGCATAGATCATCTCAAATATTGTAGTTGAGATGCATGGAATCACGCACAGGCTATGGACTGAAATGCGCCACACTTGGCAGAACAGCCACAGAGGTGTGGTGTGGATAAAAACACACCACCTAATCTCTCATCTATCTTACAGAACACCCCCCTAAATCTTTTTAACAGCGCTTTTATGAGTCCAAGCAGCCTTCTTTTCATCCTTCAACCAACCGACCTCTACTTGAGAGTCCCCTTCAATGACCACCCTCCCAAGGCTCATTTATTTTGCCTTTTGAACTCCAAAAGGTACAGCTAGTAATTCAGCTTTTGTTAAATCCCCCATACCAACAGGACCAGAGTACAAGACTAGTAATACAGTTGGTAAAGGAATAAATCATTAGCATGAACAGAAGTACCATCATTAACTTGAGAGAGAATTATTAAGTCAAAATAAAGAGAGAAAAGCTGATTATAAACACTGAACCATGCCAAATTGATCAGGTTTTTACTAACCTGGGAATGATAATATGATTCACGTCACAGATACATCATACATACATATATATATATGTATATAATAAAAAGAGGAGTGTGTGGAGACCAAGGGTCTCTCACCACAGGCCTCACACTGAGTCTCCCCTTCTCTCCTTCACACGCGTGAAATATTAAAAACCCTCTTGTGTCTCTTCATAAAACCCTCTCATGTCTTAATTTTCTCTATTAAAATCACTCATTTCTCTTCTCTAATAAAATCATTCTTAATCTCCCTCCCCCCACTCTTTTATAACCAATGTTTGTAACATCTCTCCTCCCTCATTAAATTCCTTATTTCCCATTAAAAATCTTTGGAATTCTTTTGACCTTTTCTGATAAACTATGGATATAAATTAAATGGGCTCAGTGGGGTTAAGGGCCAACCCTAGACCAACCTTGAACATTGACCTTGGCCTAGAACCAAATTGATGTCAAAACTTAAATTTGCCAACCCAAACCTAACCAAATTTTTATTCAACCCCATGTATCTGCATGGGTTTACTTGCTAGTTAACAAAGAAACTAGAGCACTAATTGTGGGGAAAGCTGTTTAAAGTGATGCCCAATGTGGAGATCATAATGCCTAGAAGCTCCAACAAATTATTACACATTATCAAGAATAAGATGAGCCATCAACTGTATGCACTATTGGTATCCAGTTTAACAAAAATATGGACCTTCGACAAGCCAGAGACCAGAAGACAAAGACAAGCATAAATATGCTAAGATAAACAGATTTGCATATGAAGAAATAGTTGGTTAGCCACAAGTGTAGGGTTCCATACCCACACTCAGGCTCTAGTGTGTGTGGTTTCATACCCACACCTAGTTGTTTCTAATTTCTTTTATTAGTAGTTTCTAATTTCTTTTAAGTTGGGCCGGATGGCCTTATTGTTTCTATTTTTTGTTTATTTCCTATTCTTGTAAGGAACCTAAAGCTATAAATAAAGAAGTGTATGGGGCAGCAGATCATTAACTACTGAACCCCTTCTTTCTTTTCTTCTCTCTCTCTCTCTCTCTCTCTCTCTCTCTCTTTTCTTCTCTTCAAACCTGTATTACTTCTTTAATACAGCAAACAGTTCTTCTTCTTCTTTCAAGTGTATATATCTTGTTTCCTAACCATTTGAAATACATTGAACTGGCTTGATACAGCTGCCCAAAATGTGCACCAATGACCACTCTTTTTTTTTATGAATATCATGACCACTCTCTACCCATGTAAATCGCTCTCCCAGGGATAGTTGAAAATGTAAACTATGCCACACTAGTTTCTTTTGGTAATACATTTTTGCAATAGTTAGTATGATTTGGGAAAGAAAAAGAATAAAGAACTTTGTGAAGGGAAGACAAAAAATTAAACTACACTAGTACTGGTGTATATAAAGCCAAAATACTTGTTCTGTGACATATCCAATGGAAATTTTTTATCAACAACAAAAGGAAATTTATTCAAGATCAATAGCAAGAAAAGAATACAAGGAAGAAAGGAACAGAAAAACCGAAAAAGGAACAAAAATCATCTAAGATGCCCCAACCAGTGCAACCCCAGCCAACACAAACAAACCAAAAACAGCAATATACCTATCATTAATTGACAGTTGCAACTAAACCAACATCATAAACAAGAAGCAGCAGGTAACTCAATACATATCCAAAAATCATTCTTTCAACAACTCCACAAAGAGAGATTCACCCAGAACCATGACTGAGAGTACTAGTGCAAGTCACCACACAAAATGCACAATACATAGAGAGGTTCACCAAGTGATAACTTAATATCTCTTCACATTCTCTGTCAGAATAGATCATACATTTATTTGAACTCTTTGTGTACCAATGCCTAATAAAGACAATGACATTATCATAGATCACAATGTCACATGCATTTCCTATGAATTATTGGGTTGATGGCAAGAAGACATAAAAAGTTAAATACACGTTTATAAGAAGCAAATCAAATGGCTAACTTTGCAGACAGTCAAGAGATCAAGTGCTAAACATGGCCCAACCAAACCCAGTACATGAGCTATTTATGATGTTGTAAGGGAGTAGTTTACCCTTGATGTTTGATCTTTTTTAGAGCTTTAGATAATAAAGCTTTTACATAGATTTTATCACAGAACTCGTATGAGATCCACTAGAGATGATTTCACTAAAAGCTCTACCTGGTACCTCTACCTAAGTATAGAAATCAAGAAATGTTAAGGAAAATGATTTTATGGAAGTATTAAAAAAATCCATAACACTACTTATTTGTATATGAAGATTATTAACAAAGAGTTGGAATGATTATACATGAAACATTATGGTGGTGTGACGCAAATAATACAATAAAAATATTAGAAATGTTGTTATCTTAAAAGTACATTCTGTTAGAGATATATGGTTTGAAACAACTACCTAATAGGGGCATGGTGTGAAAATTCTGCAAACCCAACTTTAATGTAAACCATGTTAGAAGAAATGTTTTATTTTAAGGATTTTTTTTTTGGGGATCAGCAGAAGATTTGTTTTATTAACTTAGGTTGTGTTTGGTATCGTTGCTGCTTCTACTAGAAACATTTGAGTAAAATAGGCCACTGTTTACATAAAAAATTACAATTTTAGTATTAAATGCAGGTAACGTTGCCACTTAATCATGAAACACCAAATTTGATGTTTCTATTATAAATGCCAACACCAATCCAATGCATACATTTTTTTTTTTAGTGGAAGTGGTTATCTGATGTAATGTGGCAAGATAATTTCCCAAAATTTTGTATTGATAAACCCCAAAYGTTTCTGGTAGAAACAGCAATGATACCAAGCACAACCTTAGTTATATGAAATCAGTACACTTTGATGACAAGAATGTCATCCCAAGTATCAAAAGCTAGATTACAAAGAAGCTGAGTACAGTTGCTGCCTTGCAACCCCTTGTTTAGCTAGTGGAACTGGTTATCTGATGTAATGTGGCAAGATAATTTCCCAAAATTTTGTATTGATAAACCCCAAAYGTTTCTGGTAGAAACAGCAATGATACCAAGCACAACCTTAGTTATATGAAATCAGTACACTTTGATGACAAGAATGTCATCCCAAGTATCAAAAGCTAGATTACAAAGAAGCTGAGTACAGTTGCTGCCTTGCAACCCCTTGTTTAGCTAGGGAGTCAGTCAGCTAACATTTGCAGTTTCATTTTAATGATTGTTGTAAAATCATATTAGAAAAAAATAAAATTTGTCGAATAATTAATACAGTTGTCCAAATAATTTACATGAACATGATTTGAAATGGTGTTATATGGATTACTTCTATTTGAAACAGTTTGACTATTTTCCTCAAACCTTAGAACCTATATTACGAGTTTTATGAGAGTTTTAATACAAAATATATCAAAATTTAATACCAAAATTATCAAACCTTAATACCTGTGTGCATGTTAGAGAGTGGTCAAATTATTGTGCTTTTGTCTTTATCACCTTCTTCTTGGCCACAAGGTTCATATTCCCCCATCTCTACATTCCTAAGTCATAAAAAATTAATTAATATTTACTTTGATAATTTTCTAGATAAGTTGGAAAAAATACCTGTTTAGAGCATTTTTCAATAAATGATCCTTCTTCTATCTTTTCATCTTGGCTATTGCTTTTTTTTTTTGAGGCATTTCTTGGCCCTTTCAAAGAGTGTATGGTGGAAACCTTGTGTTTAAAATCCTTTAACTTGTTTTGAAAACCTGCCTTCCACAAAACTAGCATCAATGCTACCAAGGAGACCCCATGTTATCATTTTCAACTTGCATACCCTCCAATGTTATAGATGATTGATCAAATGTTGTTTGCTTTAAACACCCTGTCACATTTTCCAAAAGATTTTCTCCTACTTGCATAACCATCTTATAAGCATCATCATTAGATGCAGCTTTATTTACCACTTGAGTGAGCAAATGAAACATCTCTTTCCTATGTGCTGCTATTTTTGTAACTTGATCAGAATAGCAATTAGAGTCATGAGATGCTTCACTTCTAGATGCTTTCGCACCAATTGTCCATCTTTTCAATATATAGCATGAGGGTAACATTTCCACACGTCTATAATCAAGTATCTTCAATGCATGTCTGCATAAGATCCCAACAAATTCAAACTTTTTGCAACTACAACTGACTGAGTCATTTCTAGAATCAAAAATCACCTTAAACCGACGATTCACCCCATACACGCAAATTGTATATTCAACAATTGTTTCAGACACAACATGATCTTCTTCAATTCTGCAATTCAATTGTTGCAATACCTCATTATAAAACATAGAAAAAATAGGGGGTGTATACACATGGGCAGCAAAATCTAATATTCCTGTATGTGTTGCCATGGTTGGGGTGCTTTGTGTTGCTGCAAATTCGGCTTTTAACTCTTCATACCGCCTATCAGTAACCACTCTCTCAAAATGTTGAAGGAATCTTGACAAATCATATTTGATGTTGAGATATTTCTTGAGACAATTATTCAAATTCTCACTTCTCTGTATTGTGCTCATGTCGGCAGAAAATGTTTCTCGTTCAAATGCCAACGCCCATTTATGCCTTTTACTATACAATCTTTGCAACCAATTATTTTCTCGAAGTTCATACCTATTGATCATGTTCTTCCATGCATCTTCAAATTCATCAACATCCTCGCAATCATATACACAACTACTGAAATCCTTAGAAAATGTCTTGAACTTCTCAAATACACCACTAAGGTGTTTTGCAGCATTTTGGAACATATGCCAAACACACAACCGATGATGTGATTCTGGTAGTACCAAATTAATTGCTTTTTCCACAATTGCATCATCATCAGTTAGCATTGCATTTGGTTTTTTTCCTCCCATTGTTTTGAGAAACACCTTAAACAACCACTCAAATGTATCTATACTTTCATCATACAATAATGCAGCACCAAAAATAATTGTTTGCCTATAATTATTCACCCCCACAAATATTGCAAATGGTCTATTCTTCTTGTTTATTCTATATGTTGTGTCAAAACATACCACATCACCGAAATAAGCATAATCTACTATCATTTGTGCATCTGCCCAAAACAGATTTGTAACTAATTCAGCTTGGTCAAGTTGTATTGCATAGACAAAGGATGGATCTTGGGACTGCCTATCTTCAAAATATTGTAGAACATCACCTGCCTCCCCCTTATCCATTTTCCTAGTACGGTATGAACTTAAGTAATTCTTTAAATCTACAGAAATGAACCCAATATTTTCACAATCACCAGCTTCATTGACTGTCAAATCCATTGATACTCTTGGAGCTATCCCTGTATCTACCATTTTAGCTTGATCACCTTGTACCTTACCGGTGATTCTTTGTGATCTCAACATATATGGCATGCTAGGAGTTGCAATCGTATGATTATGAGTTTCATTAAAATCAATGACACGATAACAACCATCCTTCCCACGACTTATCTTCATAACTGCCATACATCCGCATCTTGTCTCTGCTCGGGGATTCTTGACATTGATCCTACGTTTATCTGCAACGCGCTTCCCTTCTCTAGAACAACAAAACTTGCAGAATCTTATTTGGCAAGTCCGCTTGCATACTACTTTATTATCCTTCCGGATACTGAATCCCACCCTTCCAGCATATGTATTATAAAAATCATATGCTTCATCCACTGTTTTAAAAGTCATGCCAATCTTTGGGGTCCACTCTTCAGGAGTAACACTTAATTTTTCCTTGAGTTCATTTCGCATACTTGCATCAAGGCCTTTCCTTTCTTCAGATGTAGGCACATCATCAATCGGTTTCACCGTTTCACTAATGTTAGGTGAAGGATTTACCTCATTTGTATCATTGGTAGTGTTAATTTGTCCATGTTCATCTCCATCAAGTTCAAAAACCAGCCTTTGCATGGAGTGTGGGCTACCCTCCATTCTCTTTTTGATTATCCTATTACACACAACAAATTTTAATCAACCATTAAAATATTATAACATCAAAAATAAAAAGAGAAAAAAATTAAAATCAACATGATAAAAAGAGCAATAGAGTAATTTGGGAATCCACTATGCTAGAGATTAAAAATAGCTTCAATTAATTATCTAACTAACAATTGGACAACCTTTCCATCCAACAAGAATCTTTTTTTTTCATAATTTTCCTTGTATTTTATTTTTCTCACTAAGAAGTCTTTTTTTCTTTTCATGTTAACCAAATACAACACAGATCCAGGCATTGAGATGGCAAGAATGTGGAAATTACAATAAAAACTGAAGTGTCCAATAATAAAGGAAATCATTCTACTCTGTCCAGGTTTTTTCTAAGAGCCTTTCACTCCCTCTAAACTGCTTCCATATATTATGACTATCTAGGAGAAACAAATATCAGATGGTAAGATTGTATATTGGTTCTTTTTTGGATACTGTGGCCATCTAAGATGGGAATCATTGGTTTACATGATGGGTCTGTAAAATACAACTAGAGAAAGGTGAGACAAACAAAACTCTGAAAGCTGCACTGGTTCTTAACAGGAAAAAAAATCAAATAACTTATATACGTTATTGGACATCCTTGCCATGCAAACAACATATATAGAGGATGGAAAAGAAGTCAAAAATAGATCAATATTTATCAGAACTATAAACTTAGAAACATTGAATGCAAATGTCTGATAATTGAGAAACAAAAAAGATAAACAGAGGAAGACTAAAACTTTCATATTTGATAAAATAAAGTGCAGAAGGTCACAATATTTTCTGAGCCTTCGCTAAACTCTGGAGCATCTCTCAAATGCTTAAAGTTGGAATTTAAAGCAATAAATATACACCAAATAACCTAATCCACTAGATAGCTAGATGCATACTGACACAAGTGGGGAAAAAGGAGAAGAATAAGATTAGAAGAAGAAGAAACAATATTCCGAAATCTTAAACATATTTCCATGGACTGGAATTTGATTTGAATTTAATAAATTCTGATTAGCTAATTAGATAATCGGCATCATGTATGTAACAAAAAAATAGTAAAAAATATAGAAACAAAAATTTTCAAATTTGACATGGATCGGCATCATGTCTGCAACCTCAATTATCTTGAACTGTTCTAACTACAAGAAGTTAAGAAAAAAAAAAAAGAAACTAGGGTTAGGGTTCTGAGCAATCTGTTGAGCGGGTTCCAGGTAAAGCCATGGCAAATCCCGTGCAGAAAAAGAAAATGAAAATGAAATATACACCAGTATACCTGGTTTGGCCGCCGGTGAGAGTGAACTTCCGGTAAAAAGCAAACACGAAAAAGAACTTAAGAAGCATCATGAAAGAGAGAGAGGGAGAAAAGACGCTCATTTTAGAGATCAGAATGTGGGAAAATTTTTACCTGGTTTGGCCACCGGTGTGAGAATAATTGCCCGAAAATGTGGACGCCGTCAGAGAAAGGAGGTGGGGTTCAGGTGGCGCGCTTGGCCTCTGTTCGTTCTGCAAACCCTGTGTTTGTTCGGTAGCTTGCTTGGCCTGGTTTAGCCGCCGGTATGTGAGAATAATGGACGGAGAAAATGGACGCCGGCGGAGCAAAGGAGGTAGGGTTCAGGTAGCTCGCTCGGGCGGGAAGGGAAAAATGAAAAAACACAAGTTGGTTTCCAGGGAAGGTCAGATTCGCACATGAGAAGCTTCAGTCGTGTTTCGTGTGGAAGGAGAGTGGCACCGCACCCACAGCGTATTGGAATTGTGTTGGGAGCTAAAGTGCTACCAGTAGATTCGGACAGTCGGTTGTATTGGCATGACACATTAACACCGTGTCGGAAGTCGAGACTTCGGATATGGTCCCAATACAAGGTCCTAACAAACAACGATACATAATCGTGGTATATTCAAATACGATCCGAAAATTCATATGATCTGAATTCGAATTTAAATTTATCAAAAATAAAAGTATTTATCAACCGAGGGCTGGTAAATTGGTGTGTTCCAGCAAAAGTTGAATTTAAATTTTTGCGTAAATTACAAACCCTGTGAATTTTTATATCGTGACAAATACTTCCTCAGCCGTTAAAGTTACATGATAGAAGCACTAAATTACCAAAATATTTCAGTAAATTTTTTCTATTTTCATTTTCTTATCATTTCTTAAAACTTAACTGACCCAAATGGAGATATGTTGCTTTAACAAAGCGGCCGGGAAAACAACATACTCTGATTTTCTGGTTTCATATTGTTCATGTTGTTTATCTCTTCTCTCTCTTTCTATAAATGAATCTTCTCCATTGGAGAAGGCAATGAATAGTACAAAGTGTAAAAAAGAAAGACAATTTTATAAATTAAATAAAAGGATAAAATAAATTAGAAAAGGATAGCTTGGGTACTTGGAAAACCTTAAATAGTCGAATGAGAATATTTTTTGAAGTTAATTGATGGAGCACTATCGAAGGGGTCCTTGTCTAACGGCTAAAGTTCAGGGGGGTCTATGTAATTTACCCAATTTATTTATTGGACTTTTTAACCTTTTATTAGAATTCAATTAAAAAATTCATATGATCTAAATTCAAATTTGAATTCAAATTTATTTTTTAAATTTTCTAACCCTTTATTAGAATTCAATTCGAATCATTTTAAAAAATATTCAATAAGGATCCAATTTGATATACGTTGGATCGGGCTTGTTGGTTCATAGGAATAGAGATTTGGAATTAGAATTGGAATTCATGTAGTTTAGTTGAAAGGAATGGCATTTTCCCATTTTTGAGGGAATGGCCATTCCAACTTCCCCTTTGGGAATGAAAATCTCATTCCAGTTGGTGAAACCAAAAAAAAAAAAACTCCCCAAACACTATTTTTCCATGGTAGTCATGTATATTTTATAAAATCTTATTATCATAACAAAAAAGGTAATTTTGATTCTAATTCCAATTATAGGGATGAACCAGAAAGACTCTCATAGGCTAATAGGATTCAAATAAAAGCACATGCATCATTGAGGTGCATATCTATTTATCTATCTATCTATCTATCTATATTTGTCAACACACATTTTTGTACAAATCCAAATACAAAGAAAAATGAAGACAAATTCAAATAAATTGATTTTTTATATATTTAAAATAAATGGGATACAAATTCTTTGGATTTGAATTCTCTTACAAAAGAGATAGAATCTCTGATTCTCTCTTGATTGTGCTTCTTGCAACTTGAGGATTTGTGTTTGAGTTGAAACCGAGGATCAGATGATGTTTTCCCGTGCTTTAGAAAATGATGGAGATTTCTTCTTTCAATTGGGCTTTGAAAGCTTGAGTTTAAGAAGGATTCTATGAGACTGTTTCTTGCAACTTGAGAATTTGGATTTGAGTTGAAGCCAAGGGTCAGATGATGTGCTCCCATACTTCAGAAAATGATGGAGATTTCTTCCATTAATTGGATTTTGAAAGCTTGATCAAGAGAATGATTCTGCAAGACTTCAAGAGTATTGTTGTTTCACTCTCAAGAAAATGGTGTATGTGCTTCCTTTTTCCCAACAACCTTCTTATTTCACTTAGCTTTTCTCCTTGACCAAAAGTCTCCTCCCTCTTGATGGGAACCCCTATTTATAGATTTTCTGGTCTAATATCTTAATCCCCTTAATTAAGGATTTGATTAGCTTTCCTTACTCTTTTTAGAGAGTGAAAGGCCATTCTTAGAGAATAATTTATCATCTATTATTCTCTCTTCAATCATTAGATAATTTCCATCTATGGGAATATATGACTTCATTGACTAGAGATTTGATTGACTCTAGTTACCTTTCATAAAGAAGAGAGCTGGCAATTTACTATTTGTGGAGAGAATGATTTTTAATTAATTATTGACTAGATTTCCATTTTAGGACTTGAGATGGGTTCTAATTGGATTATTTTCATAAATCAATAAGATTTGTAATTCAAAATTGAGTTTGAGTTTGTCTTTAAGTTTGACTTCAAAGTGGATCTCACATGGACCCTTCGGCCATGCTAATGGATTTGTAATAGGAAAGCCCAAATGTTAGGCCCATGCACATATTTTAGACTATGGGGTATGATCCAAATAGAATAACCCATATTAGGGCCCATGAGCAAATTCGAGTTTATGGGGGTAGGGCCCATTTAGGAGCCCATGAAATTTTTAATGTCTACAAATGCCCCCCAAGTCTATGCTAATGTTGGCATCAACGACATGAGTGTAGACTTGCCTGTTTTACTCAGGGACTATTTGGCAAATCTTTCTAGGTAGACCTCTCCACAACCCTGTAGATAAGAAGATGGGTTGAACTTTAGGGGTTCTGTCTTTAGAGATTAAGATCATTTGAATCGAGTCATGATCTACTGAGTTGTTACTATAGTTGGCTATTTTTAGCATGGAAAGACCAAAAGCTTCATTTAAAGCTTCCTTTTTGGTCCTTTTGTATGCTCGTCTTTATGCCTTCTGGTCTTCATGCTATCAGTCTTTTGAGCTTTCCGCACTTAAAAGACGTGCAAGACACCAACTTAGATAGTTGTTGGATAGTACCTTTGGAGTTTCATATGCGATGGGCTCTAAAGATCATGAGTCGATATTTGTATGGAATAATCCTATTATGAATTTTCACGGGGTAAATCCAAGTACACAAAATTTGGTCTTTTTACATGCTATCTCTATGTCTTTTATCGATACCAAAATGGAAGAAGAACTTTTTTTTCCGGCCTTTTAGCTTTCCGCAAATGAAGAGATGTACCAAAAAGACACACCAAATACCACCTTAGATAAATGTTGGGCAGTGTCTTGGTGTCTTGTATATGACCTCCTCCTTGATCCAACATGCTTTTTATGATGATAGGACCTGGCTTGCTATGTATATTTGTATATGAGTTTTGCATTTACTTGAACTTATGTCCAACATAGTTGGACAAACCGTAATTGTACTTCATTTGTGAGACTATTAGAGGGATAACAGCATCTACAAGGCATGCGATTCATGATGCTATGGATGTTTTATTTAGCCAACATTTATAGAATGATCCTTTATGGTTCCATACGATAATTCGCATGGTAATAGCACCATAGTACCCAAGTCTCTTGCTAAGAAAATTGATTTCCAAAAGAACATATTTTTTGGACTTCATATGTTGGTACCCCATGATTCTTATTTCATCAAAGACTTCAAATAAAGGATGCATCATCGACTTGAAAGTCTTAGATTTAGAAATCTATGATTATAGGGGTGCACACTAGTGTCACTTTATGCGTATGCACTTGCTTAGTTGACACACTGCAAAGAACGTAGATGAATTGATTCTTAGTCCAAGAGGAATATATGAATAAGGGCTGAAAAGTGTCTTAGGACCATAGCCTATCTAACTATTTATTATTATGTCTTGGTCAATGAATATTAATCAGCATGGATATTTATCCTCTTCTCAAATCTCGATTGCTTGGATATTTCTCAAATAAGACTCATAGAACAATTCAGATCAGGTAGGCACAATGTTGTAAGCATGGTAAATGAGTACTTAGAAAATTTTTTTTGACATATATCCCTTAAAATACCCCTAACCTACCCTTGAAAAAGATTAATACCCACTTTTGACATTTGTCAAAATATTTATCAAGTGCTGATTTAACGTACTTACTAGATTTGGTCCTTTTATTTTATCATTGAACACCTTGCATTTGCATGCATTGGGTGCTACTTGGTGGCCCCATAATTATTATTCATAAAAAATATATTTTCTTACCCAAAAAATTAAAGATATCTTTTCCACCGATTTGGTATCCCATCACTATATGCATTTATTTGGAAACCCAATATGGCTTTCTTATTTTTGTTCTTTCTATATTCAGCAGCTTCCTTAATTCTTCATTTTATATGTTAGAATTTATTTATTCCATTAGTCCGTCCCTCATCATTACAGTACCAATTTCAAGAGTCTCAAGAGAACTCAATGTTTGATTGATGGTTAAGACCCTGTGGCATCAATTCTTGTGCAAAAGTAAGTTATTATACAGTTGATTACTCACCTCATTACACATTTTGTTTCTTCTTGAATGCTTTGAATAGAGGTAGCATTAACCAGCCATTGAAGAGATATGCGTATCACAATACAAAAGCATAAAAAATGGCTGATAAGAGAACAACCATATATATGTGCCAACTCTCAAGGCGTTTACACTAGCAAACTTATTGAAAGTCATGCCAAACTTCACTGTATGTGACTCATTAAGGTTGCTGGGTTAGGCTCTATCCATTCGTGTTATAGGTTGGGAGGTTTTTGTTTAATTTATCCTTTACTACAACGCTAGACACATCAATTTGTCCCTTTATAGCAACACTGATCAATGTGGAGCTTCATTTCTTGGATTTAGCTCTTGTTTATTTTTTTTTCTTTTTCTTTTCGATAGGAGGATTCAGCTCTTGTTTAGAGGTAAGTTAATGCATCGACCATCATTTATCTTTGTCTTTTATGCATGAGATCTCCCTCTCTCTCTTTTTTTCAATATTTTGTTATCTCTACTTTGAATAATACCAATGGCTAGGGGTGTCAAATCGATCTAGTATACTTGATCCCTATACATTTCTTTGGCATTACAATTTGAGCTCTTTTGTTTCTTCAACACCATCAATTCTGCTTGTGATGTGTATAAACTTTTAATTTCTGCTGTCATACCATCATTTAAGTTTCCAAATCACTTGTTTATTTCATGGAATGATACTTGGGGTCATCAATCGTAATTTATGACTACATCCTTTTACTTTTGATG